TCTGCATGACTGCGGAGGAAGATTTTACCATGTGACTTACTTATCTGATTCATCAGATCAGCGCGCCGTAACAATATACTTTATATGGGGCATACTGCAACAAACCCAGACAAAGTGAACATACATCAAATCTACTATGGAACCAAAGAATTACAGCACCATTAGAAGTATTTTAAAGAAAGCTCAAGGAGAAAAAATTGCCCCTTATGTTTTTAAAATTAATGACACCCAAACTCTCCAGAAATATCTAGATAAAGAAAAAACTACTTATGAAATTTACCAAGAAGAACGAAAAATAATAACTATTAAACAGACATTAATACCAACACATGATGAATCAAGAAAGAAGCAAAAACTAGAAGAAATGTAAGTAAATTTAACAAGCTTCCCACAAAGGCCTCCAATGATCAAGTGACCTATCAATGAAAGATTGCTCCTTATAGCTTTTGACTCATTGATAAAGGACTGCTTGAGCACATTCATTGAGCTTTGACTACATTTTGCTACTTTGACACAATTGCAACCAAAGAATAATAGAAACTAATTTGATTTGTATGTATAATTTTATTATCTTTATTATAAATGCATCTTGAAAATATAAATAATATTAAAAGCACCAGAGTGATTGCTATTATTAATAATGGAATCACTATCATCTATGTCTTTATTTTCATTTTTGTCATCTTCATAATTTACATTTTTCTTCTTTTCTTCCTCAATCCAACATCGAATTGCCATAATAATAATAGATTTCTTCCATGTAGTTATTCTTCGTAGGTAAAAATTTCTTATCATAGAAACAGCAATGCTCTTTCCTTCACTGAATAACTTAAGAATTTCAAACACCATTTTGTTAAATGAAAATTTTGGATCTGATTTAATTCTTTTGTTGTATAATCATTTTAGATCATTCCACAACTTTTCGATTTCTGGCAAGTAAATTTTGTTCACCACTGACAGTTTTGTTATGGATTGTAACTTCATCATTTGAATTAAAGCTCCTGTAACATTATACAGTCAGACCTCTCTAAATGCACATTGTCAGGACCATAGTGAAAAAAATCCAAAAGTGTGCATTTAGAGAGAGTGTGTATTTACAGAGAGCAAAATATATAATGTTCTTATAAGCTGGGACTGAACCATACCATGCATTTATGGAGAGTTTATATAGTGTGTGCATTTAGAGAGGTTGCATTTAGAGAGGCCTGACTGTATAAATATGTTCAGCTCAGAATATAATAGAAATATCCTGTCCCTCCAGAGCAAATATAATATCAGTAAATGCTATTCCGCTAAATGTTGTGAGGAATATTTTTTGGGGATCTGTGTGAAAAATGAAAATTATTTTGTCTGCACAAGTGCAGAAGTCCGGCGCAGTATCACAGAAGTTATCATGTGATCAATAATTATTAGCTGACATAAAATTACAGTCACGAAAAGAAATTTTGATTATGCCTGTTCACGATTACTTCATGCGAGATTCTGCATGCTGGTGTATTTTAGATTTTTTAAACGAATCCATTGAGGAACCTTTCAAGCTCAAGATAGATACATATCTCAAATCTCTTCAGATAATTATGGATAGTGAACAAGGAAAAAGGAGTGATAGAGCAAAGTTGCTCCATGATAATTATAAAAAAGTTAAGTGAAAAAGTTTTTTGTTGGAAATGTAATATTAATATGTGGCATGGCAAAAATCTCTTCAATTGTTCGTCATTCAAAACTCTTCGTTGAGCCACAAAACCAGTAATGGAGCACAGATGACCTCTTCGCTTGTCTGTTGTTAAAAAGACTCTTCGTCAATCCAGCACTGGACCCATCAGGGCACAGATGACCTCCTTGCTTGTCTGGATGTTCTGGCAGGATCAGAAATCAAGTGGTATCGGAAACATGCTGGTTGAAGTAATAATACTAATTTTCTAAATTCTTCATGTAGGAACCTAAAGGAAAGCAAAAAAATGGGAAATGGAATGTTCTTGCAAGCAAGTCCATATTCATCAACCAATTGTTACAGGAACTATTGCTACTGGGACTATCAATGGTGGTATCATAAATGGATTGCCCATGTCAAAAAAAAAGAAAATCTACAGAGATCAATAAGTCAGGTTCTGATGCTACAAAAATTGATGAGTCAAATGTTTCCAATGCTCCTGAAGACATTGAAGATGTTCTTATGGGAGACAATATTATTGATGACAAACAAGTAGTAAGTTATATAAATTTTCTATTCTTCTTCTTATATTTTGCATTGACATGTAATTAATTAGCTTCCTTTGGCCTTTTTGTTGAATGCACTGATAGAAAGAGCATAATCTTGAGAAAAGCTGGGAGTTTAAAGAACCAATTCCTAGCTGGCTCAAACGGCTTCATCAACATTGCAAAGATCTTGCCACCACAACTGACACTGACCTTGAATCACTGTCTCAAGTAGCAGAAACGTAAGTTCACAATTATACACTGCCCTACCATAAATCACTGGATTTCATATTTTTTTACTAGTAAAACATATGAAAAGTCTTTTTTTCAAAAATCTCTCCTGCCCATGTGTACTATGTGAATTACAATAGTTTTTGTATGGTTTTGAAGCTAATTAATTGTGCTTTTTGAAAAAAATCAAGTAAGAGTATATGTACTCCACATATATAATCATATATTTTTATACCATAATTTAAAGACTGCCACTTCACAAAGCTATAGCTTTATAATGATGATATATATAATTTACCGTTAACTTTTTTTCGAAAAGCACAATTAATTAGCTTCAAAACCATACAAAAACTATTGTCATTCACATAGTACACATGGGCAGGAGAGATTTTTGAAAAAAAAAGACTTTTCATATGTTTTACTAGTAAAAAAATATGATTTATGGTAGGGCAATGTATGGTTTTTTTCTATAATTAAAATATATAATTCTGAAATCTTTCTATGGTTAGTGCCATTTGGTGGCATATCATAGATGCATGTGATCTGAAATTAACTGAAATTATTACAGAACAAGAGTTTTTAAACCTAAAAGAGAGTTTACTTTCCAACCTTCCATCAAACTGGGAAGCATTAGAGCCACCAGTTGAAAGATGCTTGCACTCAATTGCAATGGTGGGTAATAATGTTAAGTACTTTATGCACTTTTTTAATTCATAAGCTCAACCTTTGTGTGGTTGGATAAGAAAGGATTGAAGAAGGTAGCCAAAACCATAATACATCATGGTGTTTGTGGTGCTATAAATAAGATTCGAAAGATTTTGACTACTTCGAACAAAGTCGAAGATGAAAACCCCTTCCTTGACTCCCCACCTACTGAAATCACAACTGCTGATAATTTTGTTCAAGATGGAGATTATAAGCACCCAGATGTCTGTTACATCATTGAACTTCTTTGCTATATGTAAGTATGGGAATTGTTACATGTAACTAGTATTTTGGAATAACTGAATATTCATGTAACTAGGTACAATATGATTGATAGAAAAATACTGCAATGAGAAAATTCAAAATGGGATATTGATGTGATTTTCAAGTCCCACATGTTTTCTTGTTTTGATGACATTATGGATTCACATTTGTAAGTTCAAACTGCTGATTTTACATGATCATGTTTTAATATATTGAAATTTATTATATTCATTCTTACTGATATATTATAAACCTTTTCAATATTAATATTACTAACTAGTGGGGAGATGGTTTCCAGAGCTTCACGACAATGCCATACTCAAGCAATTGATGCTTCTGATAAAGCAGAAGGTTATCATCTAGATTGGCTTTTTACAGTATGTATGTTTGTAATCCCTTATCATAAATAAACAAATTTTAATAATTGTTGTTTATAGAAGCATGATCTTGCAAAAGATCTTACCTGGGGGCAAGAATTTTCACTTTGTGAAAGAGCAGGGTCCAAAATCGAAAATGGAAGAAAAATACTCGATAACACACTCAAAGTGCAAAAAACACTGCATGACATGCATCAGACGTTATTAGAAACCTTGTCTAATGCAGGTGGTGGTGCTGTTCCTGTCAAAGTTGCTCAAGCTTTCCGAAAACTGCTTCTGCCTGGATTTATCTCATCTCAATTTTTTATTCAGGTTTTGTTAAATGTATACATTGGTGGTAAATACCATGGATCCATCATGCTAGCAGAATTTGATGTACCCACTCAATTTGATGAAATGAGCAAGATTGTAACAATAGCACAGATGATGTTGAATGTTAAGGTAAGCTGACAAATTCCTTTAACATTTCATTATTATTTTTTAATTCTGTTATTTTGTGCAGAATATTTTCAAGCAAACCATAAAAACCTTCACTTTGATGGAGGAAGCTTCCAAGAAGAAGAAACACTCTGTAGAAAACGTGTTGGTGCCATCGAGAATCAAAGAGCATGTGACTCCTAATGCTAAGAAACAAAAAACTTCTAAAACTAAGAATCAATAGGAGTTTACTTATTGAGAGTTGATGGTTTATTGTCTGATAATATGTTAATATACATGTACAGTATGTACATATGAAATCTAAAACGAAATTTTAAATGCACCTACTGAAACTGAGATAAGTGTAGTAAATGATACAAAAGTCAATGTAAATATATCTAATAATTCTCGGCATCCAATCTCTATTTTACCCGATGATCCAGAAGAGAAGCGAAAATCCATCATTAATAAAGTGCTAGAGCAGTTCATCTTCAAAGTATAGCAATAAAAATCACGATTATTTTGATTTTAATAGTTCAGTCTCCTGCCCTATATGCAATAAAGATCATAAAAAAGAAAATATAAGAGATAATATAGAAGGTAGATGGGGTAGTGGTGATTATGT